ATTTTTCGATATTGGTGTATTATTTTTATCATCAGAATGTCAAATCGGTTGCCGACAGATTAGAGCCAGCGAGTTTACTGTGATTGGTTAATGGTTTGCGGACATAACTTATTTATCAATAGTCTACTGGTGCAAGACCCAATATCGAACTGATCCAATTCCAGAGATCAAACAACTTGACAGTTTATTACGGCGGAAAAAGCTGTTTGGCAAGCGTCTTGGCCACGTCCGTGTGGATTTGACAAGTAATAGGTAACGTACTTAAGAACTTTTCAAGAACGTTTCGGCGCTCAAATTGCGAAAAATGAAAATGTCCAGCCTTGGCCTCAGCTTCAAATCTAGACTTTTGATAAAAAGTGTAGCTGGGAAACGAACATTTCACAATATGAAAATAAGCTAATTGATTCTGCTCCCATCAAGCATCATTTAATTTAGAGTAAAGTAGCTTCCTGCTATAAATGTAGCATGTTTGATAATTCATTTTGATGTAGGTGTTATGAATACGAATGGTCACCCCTCATGTGTACTCCGAGGCTAAAAAATAGTTATCCAAGATTTTTTTACTGTTACTCAACTTCACGTTCATTTTTGTTTCAATGAACGCCATTTCAAAGATTAAGTAATTTTCTACAAAAAACTAGCTAATAAACGTTCGCAGTGTATGTATTTACCCTTTCAGACTTTCCTTTCCGTAAATTATCGCGATGGAATAATGACGAATTTTCACTTTTGTTTAAACGCCTCCACTTTAATAGACGAGATGAATGGCATGTTTTAATTCACAGGGCGATGAATAGTGCAAAGTCATTAACTGCACCTCTTATAAGTGACACAAATTTTCATGTTCAACTTTACTTTTCTTTATTTAATAAAAAAGTGAAGACATCTGGCACCACAATTAACAGCTTTTCGTCACGTTCAATTCTATCCATTTTACCTACACAGAAAAAGACATCAAAAAATTCGATAAGCGCAGGACTAAATGATATCTGTGTTTAGAAGGTGAATATATCTAATTTTGATCTACACCATTATTAATGCGGTGTAGCTAGTATTTTCTAACATTAACCTCAACGAAGCAATCGTTATTGGCTTCAACTTAACTGATCAAACCTTTTTTTTCAGACTTCAAAGAGCCAAGCGTTTCCAAGAGTGATTTCGGATCTCTCTGACTAGTGTGAACCATTAGTAACATCGCTGCTTGCTTTTTCAATGCGTTATCCTCAACGTCTCTACAGAGGTACCTTGCTAAGGTAACCTAACAAGCTTGTTCACGAAAGACATAGGCGACTCTACATTGCTATCATTGCCTCGTTGTCAATTGACTAAGGGAAACTATAGGCAAAGCTATATAGCTATGGATGCTGGCAGAATGCAAGCTCTGCTTTGCTCGGGTTATTTATCGAGAGGGTATACGTTTTTCTTTTCTACGATAAACGTTTTCCTCTCTATTGCTACAGTTCTAGGGAATGCAGTGATCCTAGCTGCGCTGCGCAAAGAATCGTCTCTCAATTCGCCATCAAAGCTTCTATACAGCTGCCTCGCTGTCACTGATCTTCTGGTTGGTCTGATTGTGGGGCCAGCCGCTGCTGTACATTTCACTATGTGGAGTATTGATATTGGCCAGATGGTGGACCTCTGTGCGTACTCTGCCGCCATCAGCATTCTCAGTTTCACAATTTTGACTTTAGTGTCATTGATAACGTTGACAGCAATAAGTGTGGACAGACTTCTCGCTCTGTCGCTAGGGCTGAGATACAGACACGTTGTAACTATGAAGCGAATTCAAGTATTACTCGTCTGTGTTTGGATTCTCAGCATTTCGTATACATTGATGATGCCGTTATGGAATTATAGTATTGCTAAAATCTGTGGGTACACTTTACAATCAGTTTGCCTTGTGGTGTCGGCGTTTTGCTACGCGAAAATCTTCCTTACACTCCGACATCATAAAACTAAGGTGCAAGTACGGGTTCACCAAGGACAACCGAATGGAAGAGGAATACCACTTAACATAAAGCGATACAGAAAAACATTATCAGCTGCAGTGTGGGTCCTGATAACGTTGGTGGCCTGTTATCTCCCACATATTGCAGTCACGGCTCTGTTTTCAATTTATGGCCTCTCTCCACTTTTACGAACAATGTGGGGGCTATCAGGAATTCTTGTTTTTTTAATCTCATCTTTAAACCCGCTTCTTTATTGCTGGAAAATGAAACAAGTGAGGCAAGCAGTTAAGATCACGATAAGACAGGCATTATGCTTGTCGGATTAATCAGTTAACCAGGATTCATTTCTTAACTTAGCCCGGCTTTATACCTAATCTGTCCACAAACGTTTATTTTTTTGCTGCGAGTTATTTTTCTTCGAGCGCACGAGCGAGCGAGCGCGCGAGAGCGGCTTTCCACAGGGTCACCCCCTTGAATACTTTTGCTTACGATCTCGACGAACTCAGGACAAAATAGTGGGCTTATGAACAGACTAGCCCCACCAACGGTAATGTGTTTTCTTTTGTATAAACGTAAAAATATTTGATGAATGGGCTCACGGGCTGGAAGAAGGGATTTATCCTAAAACTTCCAGGAGCTCAGTTGTTTATCTTGCGCGGAAGGTTTTATGTGTCAACTTCGTATCCATGATATACGACATTGCCATGGCAACCACAAATTCAAATTTTAGCTAAGCAGGATGTTTTATCTTTTTTTAACATAATTCTTCTTTATTTAATCACTAATTTTCCAATTTTCATTTGTACGCGTCATTACCAATTTGGATTAGCTTTTAATGATTAGCGTTGGCGCAATTTCTATGATTTGAAACGGAGGTTAAGTATTCTTGTTGTTACTGAAGCCGTGTTGCAGTATTGATTGGGTCCACAGCCCCATTAATATCCAGGGCTTATTGTACCATTTTCTTGTTTACTTTTCATTATGGGTTATTAAGTACCAGAAAATTTTCTTACTGTTAGAATTTCTATTGATGTAAACTGGCCTGGTCTGTAATAATCAAGACAACACCAGTTGACAAAGAGAAATTCAGACTACCTATTTATTAAGAATCAAAACTGTCATACATTTTTCCATGGTATGGCACTATCATTCCTTGTGTACTGGTAATGCGTCTTAAGTGAAGGACCACTAATATTTAAAGTCCAATCAAATAATCTTTATTTCTCACAAATTAAAACAGCGAGAAAGTATGCATTGGTAAACAAGTATGTACATTTAGTTATAGTCTGGAACTGTGTAAATACAAAATCAAAATAATATTATTCCTCAACTTATTAAATAAAAATTATGTTAGACATGATCAGTAGATAATGATCATCTACAATGTAACAACTCAAAAACAACTCAATAAAGTAATCTAAAATTGAAGCATTGCATTTGGGTCTTTGAATTTAAAACCCTATAGTCCCAAGAGGAATCAAAATCAAGTTTTTCCCTTTCTAAACCAATACATAATCATCGACAAAAAACCCACGAAAATTGACCAAACAATCAACATTTGACAACTTGCCTTGAAGTTGAAGCAATTCACCTGTAGTGTAAGAAACGTATGGAGACAATTAAGGACGACTTTTATGTTGAACAAAGGAGCCCAAAGTGTTAATGCACATATCACCAGCTTCCAGTTCTTAGGAATATGTAATAAATAGAGAGGGTCTGGAAGGGGTCTTTGCCAATGGTTTGAGCAATTCAAGACTTTCTCAGAGATTAACAGTTTGTAAAGGTATAATATAAATTCACAGGGCTGATTGAGTTAAATTGTCAATGCCTTTGTGCAATAGAAATGGAATCTAGGAGAATTCCTCTTTTAAGCTTTCCCCTTCATATATAGGTGGCCTATATTTTACCAGGGTTTGACATCAAGAGGAAGCTGCTGAGACATGTACGATATATGTATAACCTAACCGAAACTTCTGCTTTACAATGCATACAGGGCTACCTCTTTTTAGCAATGCTAAATGTTTGAGATTATCTCGTAGGGACTGGTCAGCTGCCACAACTTTACCTGATGTGGCCAAGTCCTTTTCAAATTTTCCTCTGAAGAATTCCTTTGTTCTGGTGTTGCACAGTTTATGAGGCATGTCACTCTAAACCTTGTCGATTACATTAGACTCTACATCCTTAACTGATGCTTTACACTTCTCCGCTGACCATTTGAAGGATTTCAACAATTGATGATCATTGTAAACATTGAAGTGAACAGCTTCCAAAAAGTTGCTCTTGTATTTCTTCAAACTTCGCTCTTTTACATATTCTCTGACGACAGGTTTCTTTCACAGGTCACCAAAAAATATGCCAAAACGTCATAAAACAGATGCATACAAGTGCGTCCCAAGTGTAACTATAACAGCTCTTTTCTGAA